GGAACAATGGAACAATATATACAGGCAATGTAATAATATATACAATAACAATGGAGTAATATGTACAGGCTGTCATGCATAACGAGTAGTTATGCCGGTACATGAATCTTTGGGAATATCCCAAATATATCTTTCATGCATAACAATTACTCTGGCCAGTTCGGAAATGTTGTTCAGTTGGGTGTCGTACATATTCCTGCAGTTGTTTACAGTTGCTAAACCTGCATGAAAGATATATTTACCATTCACTTTCATAATAAGAGCAGATGCAAAGTATATTGCTATTTTGATGTAATCTTTTGCATCAAAACTGACAGGACTGAGTATTTGAATAACATGAAACTTCGTGTCGTCTGTTTCAAATACTCGGTCCACAGTCATTTCATGCAATGATTATTTTTTCGATTGCGTTACCGTGGCTGTAATATAGAATATTTCTGCAATAATACGGTTTTTTGAACAGACTGCATTTTGTCTACACTTTTAAATTTTATCTCTTACGCATCGTCTTCACTCAGAATGCATTAGCTTGAGAAAATAGTGGAAAATGCAGTTTGTATCCTTAAGAATGTTTGAAAATTTAGTTTAGTTCATTCTTTTATCACGTTCCCTGATCAAATGATTGGTTGAAAAATGCAAGAATTCATAAAGTTTCTTTGTTCAAATACATTTTGAAATTTTTCTTAATGCTGTGAAAAGTTTTTTATGCTAGTATATTTTCTCTAAGGGTTAGTGCATATTTATTTGGTCTATCGAATCATTAAGGAGTAGCAAAGCGGCATTACAAAATTTGTGAAAGTTCTAAATAACGCTTCATCAACTACTATTATAATGTTTTGCATTTTTAGTTGCTAACTACAATGATTTAACATTTAACAGTCTGTGAATATTTTATATTTAGATTAAACGATGTGTGATTTTATTTTTTTATAACAAAGAACGTGCTTGATTGAAAGAACTTCTTGAATAATTCTTTCACTTTCTAGCGTTTCTTCTTTAAGGCATCACTGCGTACTAAAAGTACATACTTACTCAAATGGTCATTATAAAACTTGCCTCCACAAAACTTGCTTTCAGTTTGTAGAAACATTAGGTTATTTAGAAACAGGAGACATGAAAAATGAGCAATGCCCTCACCGGGACACGAAACACGGACCTCTCGCATATGCTCCGAGCGTGCTGGCCATTACACCACGAAGACATGCTACGAAGGCGGGAGAAATACCTTATATACTCCCTCTTTTAAAGGTCGACTGGGGTTAGGGGACCCAGTTGTCAAATCCTGGTGGTGGAGAATCATCATCAACAACTTTTTTTAGTTCGGGCGCTACTGTAGATTTATTAGGTATTTTTGATGTAGGAGAAGGGAGAAATGAGCAATACCCTCGCCGGGACTCTAACCACGGACCTCTCGAATACTCGCTGAGCATGCTGACCACTACACCACGAAGGCATGCTAAGAAGGCGGGAGAAATATCTTATACACGCTTGCCCTTTTAGAGGGCGACTGGGGATTAGAGGATCTAATTGCCAAATCCTGGTGGTGGAGAATCATCATCCACTTCCTTTTTAGTTCGGGAGGCATTGTAGAGGCATTAGGTTATTTCAAAGCAGGAGAGATGAAAAATGAGCCATGCCCTTGCCGAGACTCGAACCATGGACCTCTTGAATACGCGCCGAATGTGCTGGCTATTATACTACGAAGGCATGCTAAGAAGGTGGGAGAAATACCTTATAAATTGATGATTCATATTTTGTTTAAATCCAATGAAATTACTATGAATAACATAATTAGCTACAGATTAGAAGTAAGCCTCTTTCAATCTTTATTTGGTTGTTATGACTCAAGTCTTATGTTTATAAGTTGAAATTTTTTTCGAGAAATTAGTTTCAGCTTTAAAGCAATGATTATTACAAGCAATGATTATCGAATGCATCAATGCGTTAGATTTTGTAGTTGTGGTGACAAAATATTTATATTTGCTTACTTTGAAGATTTTCTAATACTGTAGTACCACTAATTAAAGAACCTAAGAAATTTTGTACATCTCATAGTAATATTTAAAGAGCTCAAAGCATTATGAAACATTAAATATCTTTATTATTTGATAATAATTTTTAAATTACCTGAGAAACTTTTCTTCTTAATGCAATGAATTTAATTTAGAAGTACATTTAATTATTTATAATTAAATCTTAAACTATTATTGGCATTTTCAGTTTAGGAAAATGACAGGTTTCCTTACTGTGGGAAACGGACTAGATAAAGTATATTTCTTCAAGAATAGTACATACAATAGCATTTTCTTGAAAATATATATATTTCTGGTTTCTTCCCTTTCAGTATCTAATACGATACTGAAAGGGAAGAAACTAGAAATATATACAGAATATATACGTCACTGAACTTTCCCGCTTTCATGCAATTCTTTTTCAGAACTGTAGTAGCATCAAGGAACTTTTAAATTCCGTGAATTAAAGAGTTTGTACTGAATATTATGGATTAGGCTTTCTTCATCTTTACTCTTTCCCCAAAGCAAACATTTCATTGCTTTCTTACTCATCAGAGGCCCACCAGCGGCCGAGCGGTAAAGACGCTGAACACTGGTAGTTCGGTCCGAGGTTCGAATCCCGCGAACGGGGGCTGGCTGCTTGGGCGTTTTCGTGGTTTTCCCCATGTGTAACGTGTATACGATCCAGTTCCCCTTAGAAAGGCCTCCACGAAGGCATCCCTCCCTTTAGGCAGATAGCCCTCGTGTGCTTTGCCGTAATTGAATAATGCAAAAAAAAAAAAAAAAAAAAAAAAAAAAAAAAAAAAAATGCTTACTCATCGGATCTAAACAGCACAATAATTTTGATATTATTTCTGTGTGTAGTTAATTCAGTAAAATATTTAAAAATACAAATTTGCCTAAACCAGTGCATTGTTGATTAACTTGACTTAGATATTATATTTACCTAAATACAGCAAACGTTCGGAAGTTATATCCTTAGAGTTCGTCATCTCTGCGTTATGTCTAAACGATAACATGCAATTATTCTTTGAAATTCGCCTGAATAAAAGGAATTATAAATTTTTAATGTAAAAATGCATTAAAATCTGCATTCCATGCTTTCAAAAATTTCTTTCACAGCTTGTTAAAGATGGCAGTAATCTCTAAAATGATGCCGCACTTTCAAAATTAAATACCTAAACGTTATACCAGTTGAGGGCTTACCAGTTACTCTATCTTTGTTGTTGAATAAACTACTTCACAGTCATCTTAGATGCTTGCTGAAAAAACTGCTTCGCAGTCATCTTTAAACGTTGGAGAAAGTGTTGTTCAAAAACAGCATGTTTAACAATGTTTGACATTACGATGCGAGGGAGTACCTAAGCTCAAAGTACTTTCTTTCTCTTGCCTGACCCATCATAATAATTATTATAATAGAATAATGCATTAGTTAGTAGTGTTAATACATTATAAAATTTTAAATACCTGTCAAGCAAAACCTGGTTTGTAACTAAAAAAAAATCTAAAAACTTTCAGATTTTACATTACTCCAAAAGGGATGTTCTTTTAACGCTATCTGTGTTATTTTATTTATCAAATATCATGTTCTTCGCACTTAAATCATAAAATTCAATTCAACAGCAATATCGTAAAATAATTTTTAAGTGAGCATATCTTTAGAATTTCCGATACACAGTCTCGAGCGCTGGAGATAAAATTGTTTTTTTTTTTTTTTCTTTTTTTTTTTTTTTTTTCGTACAGTGTTGTGATTACTCGCTTTGAAATCGTTGAGTTTCTTAATCAAAAACTCATAAATTCTTTACAAAATACAAAATATGAAATAGATAATAAAAAAAAATACCAACTTCCAAATATGGGCTGTCAAATGCCCATATTCGGAGGAGGATTACGTTACTCAAAATTTGATGGCTCTAGGTACCGTCGTTTTATCATAATGCGAGAAACATATACACAGATGCAGATTCTATTTATGCAGATTCTTCACTATTTAATTTCTTTAAGTATAACACAGGGCGATAATATTTGGTCACAACAATTTGGAAACTGATACGGGCATTTACAGTGAGTCGACGCAAAATGCCAAAAAGAAACTAATAGCCTTTCTGAGCTAACGCTTCTTTGGGCTAAAAAGACCAGGATTTAAGATTTGTCGGTTTGTAAATATAAGTTATTTTAAGAACTAAAAACTGATTTCGTAAAAACTCTTTGTTAATTTACTTTTTTCTGGAGCAAGTACGGGAAAATAAAACGAGATCTTGGAAAGTAAGCTAAAACGTTATTTCGTAAGTAAAATAAAAATATATAGTGGTATAGATAAAATTATCAGCATATATAGTAATAACATAAAAGTTAATAAATTAAATACATTATTATAAACGGATTTAAAAAGAGAAGACAAGCTGAAATTTATTGTTGTATATGAATTTATTGTTGTATATTGTTCTAGGAAGCACGATTTTCGATCTACAAAATGCAACATAATAGAAAGCATAATCCATAATTATCAAAGCTTAAATTTGAGGACTATATTATTTTGAATGGATGAAATTTTGAGAATACAATGAGAGCATTTGTTTCACATGAGTTTACACCGATAAACAATGAATCTGTATACTCATATATCAGAAACGTGTAAGAATAAAAGAGGGTTGGTTCGTGGCTGAAATTCAGTTGAGAGTAGAGATGACAAAGACGAGTGCAAAACTAAGACAAAAAAAAATCAAAAATTAATTAACGTGAAATACGTTTTTGTTAAAAACAAAAAAGGAGTTTATACAAAAAATTAGATTTTAGACTGGCTTTCTTGTTTTAAATATTCATATTGTTGCAGAAGTTTTGTGAAACAAAAGTTAGGAAACGTTTCTCCGAAGAAACATTAAGATCCTCTGAGCAAAATATGTTGACAGAGGGCGCTGTCTCGAAAATGACGTCATAAAACCCCGGCTCCTACATCTTTCCAAAAATGTTTAGCAAGAGCGTGAACTTGCAATACTCCACGAGCATCACTCCGGAGACAGCCGATGATCCGATTTGAGGCATCCGATTTGACTTCTCTATGAGGCTCATGTAATTACTTTCGGTAGAACGTTCTTGCATTTCTGAATTAAAAAGCTAACAGAAGTTTTAATTAGAAAGCAATTCTATGAGAAAGTTCTGAGTGTTCAGAAAAAGACTAATTACATCTGAATTAGGTAAGACACAATTTATTATATTTATGACAGAACTATCGATAAATTGAAACATACTGAAAGAACGGTTATTTTTCTGTATTCTAACATTACACCATATAAGTGAAAGTTTCGAAATAATTAAATATGTTTTACAGGTTTAAAAAATAAACGGCTTCTCTAACGGCAGTTTAAATGCTTTCTTAAGTTTTCAATTAATATCTTTTTAGTGATTTTGCGGATAACGAATTTCTGTGAATATGTCAAGAAGTTCCTAAACAGTCTTCATCTGTTAAACTATACTGTTTTGAACAGTATGTATGAAAGCAAAATTAAAATTATTAATTCATATCCATTATAGAAAACAACAATTATCAGTTACATTTACTAAATAACATGAATTCAAAGAAAGCCTCGTAGTAATTTAATATGTCCTGTCATTGTCTAATAATTCAAAGAAAGCCTCGTAGTAATTTAATATGTCCTGTCGATTTAAATCATAAATTTCTTAAGGAAGCGACAGTTTAGGTACATCTTTTTTTAAAATTTTCCGTCATTTCGATTATTTTGAAGAAAAAGAATCTATGAATACGACCAGAAGTTTCTTGCTTAGCTTAAATTCTTAAACTATGCTGATTTAAGCTTTATCTGTAAGATTTTAGTAAACTAGTTGCAAAATTCATTTCTGTTTTAGAAAGCAATAACTATGAGTTGCATTTATTAATATGTCCTTGTTTATTGAATTTATTAGAAACTGCTTTGTTACATTGACAATGTTGTAAATTTAAATTAACTTTTTTCAGCGAGATGTCTGATCATAATGGATGTATCTGAAAGTTATTAATAAATTTTCTGCCTTGATAGCAAATTAAACTAAATAAATGAATTTGACTTTTTTATGTATAAATAAATAAATATTTTAATGTTTGATTCCTTTACATGTTATCGCATTCTTGGCATCAAACGAAGAAAAGAGAATCTTATGTGAAACGTTTCCAAGAATACACCGCCCGCCATTGGCCGAGCGGTAAAGTCGCTGAAATACTGGTAGTTTTGTCCGTGGTTCGCATCCTTGTGAATGGACTGGCTGCATGGGCGTTTTCGTGGTTTTCCCTATGTCTAACGTATATCCGATCCAGTTTCCCTTAAAACGTCCTACACAAAGGCACCCTTTCCCTTAGACAGGTAGCCCTCGAGGGCTTTGCCGTAATTAACCAAACGAAAACCTGAATATACCAAAAGACAATCAACAAATTTCTGAAGCTGTATAAAGAAATGAAAAATCTTTTAATTTATATTGCAAAAGATTTAGAGAAATACTTTAAATGACTGATTTATTTTGTTATTTTAAAATAACGAAATAAATGTGAGAAAATTTTATTAGTAGTTGTACATCTAACCTCTATCATTAGCAACGCTAAGCATTTACATTTTACCTAATAACATAGTTATTCTTAATATTCTTTTATTTTTAAGTTATATTATTTCAGCAGAAGGTAATACGTTCTTGTTTATCTTAAAAATGTATTTTTAATTATTCCTTCTAAATTCCTTGATTTGGAGACTAAGGCGGAATAAACGTGCAGTATAATTGCATGTTTATTATTTATTTATTTGTTTTTTAAACTTTGGGAAATTAACCATAATTCTTTAATTAAAATATTATTAAAAATTGAAAACCATAAAAAACTATAGTTATCAATTCATAAAACTTAAAAAAAAAAAAAAAAAAAAAAAAAAAAAAAAAAAAAAAAAAAAAAAAAAAAAGAAAAAAAAAAAAAAAAAAAAAAAAAAAAAAAAAAAAAAAAAAAAAAAAAAAAAAAAAAAAAAAAAAAAAAAAAAAAAAAAAAAAAAAAAAAAACTTTAAAAGTTCCGTCATTTGTTTCTGCATTGCAGTTTTAATGTCGATCCGTATAACAAAATATATGAGGTTACCCCCTAAAAACATGTTCTATTCGTCACCATTTGAACAAAATTTTAAAAAAAATACCGGAACCTATTTGAATCCTCTTATATATCATTTATTCGTTACCACCTCATAACTCTTAAATGTTATTTTGGAAGGAGTTGAGAGTATATGTTAGAAGTAGAGTTAAACAGTTTGCAGTTGATAAGCAGAATTGATATATTGATAAGTTGATATTCCCGAAACCCATTTCACTTAGGCAACACGATAATTGAAAACTAAATTGGAGAATGTCAACATTCTTATTTGAATGGCAACACATACCAAATCCATCGATCGAAGACCGAATATTTGGTTATATTCTTATACATTCGGATCATCACCGGTGTATCTCGACAAGCACAGATATGCTCTGGTGGAGATCGAAATGAAAAGCCGAGAAGGCAGACAGGAACTCTCGTGCAATTCAAAGTGTAATAACAGTTTAAATTGTGGCAATAAATATGTTTGTATAACGTCAATTACATAATTAAATAAATTTATTATGGGTGTTATTTTATTTTCATATTCAGAATATACTATTCGTTTTAAGTTCAACAGTTTATTTACATCTCTGTTATTAAAATTTCTTCTAATTTGGCACGTATCATAATGTTTTAATAATATAACGTAAGATTTAAAAACATAACAAAAAATTTTTATTCAACATTCACCATCAGTGCATGGTGAATGTCGACATTTGCCGATATAAGATAAATAAGGATATTTAACAAACATTTCGGACATACACTAAAAGACTATGTGAATAATAACATTCACCAGAGGATGTCGACATTCTCCACATTTCGGTCCTTCACGGTAGTACTAAAAATATATTTAGACAATTGCATAGTATATTACTGCTGCAGAATAGCTAATGTTTTGCTAGTTAAATGCTAATGCGAAAGTAGGTATTTTTGGAAGCAGGCGAGATGAAAAATTAGCAACGCTTTCGCTGGGAATCGAACCGCAGACCTCTCGATTACGCGCTGCGCGTGCAGACCACTACACGACGAAGGCTCGTTAAGAAGACGGGAGAAATACTTTATAAGTTTAATAAAATTTTAATTGTAATCGAATTGGGTGGGTATACATTTAACCTTTTAACTGTCATGCCCGAGATTATCTCGGGCACAGCACTGGTGTTCGAAAATGTCACGCCCGAGTATTTCTCGGGGTAATTTTTTTTTTGAGTGCATAGTATTGTCATACCCGAATATATATCGGGAGATGTTTATTTCGGCTACATTTGGTTTTTCCAATAAAAAAAATTTGACAATTTGTGTACCCAAATCATCAAAATAACTTGACAGTTAAAGGGTTAATAAATACGAACATGAACTTAATAGTAAATTATTATATCAATGCTAATTAAATGATTTAAAATTCCTTAAATTAAATTTGTTATAATACATTTTATAAACTACTTTTAAAGTATTTAATTATTGAGAATTTTTTAACCATAGAAGAATGCTTAGAATGCTTTAAAAATTCTAAATTAGCGATAGTATTATCTTAATTGCTGCCAAAAAAGCAATTTTGAAACAATATGGATTTTACGATTCTCAAAATGCTTGAAGAAAGTAGTATTGTTTCCCGAATAATCTAAAATAACAACAATAATATTAATATAAAAGCACTTTTGTCAAAAGCATAGCAATCATAAGATTTGTAATGCATTGACTTTATGGTTATTTTTGAATAAAAGATAGATTTTTGAAATATTTAAATTTCTTTCCTTGCAAATTAATTTCTTTCCAGCAGCTATGATCTATGTACTTTATCAACCATCAAATATTTTACGTCAGTGTTATTATGATACACCCTTCCCCTTTCCACTGCATTCTTTTCTTCCCGCACCACAGCCAAACGCTCTGTTAGAAGCGTTGCCCAGCAACGGAGGTCAGTTATTCAGCTCTTCTTTTCAGCTCAGTCAGTTATCGCGTCTACGAAGTTTTCGATAAACATTTCTTTCATGACAGCATCAAATGAAACATTATTTGAAGGCTTATGAAATTAACATATTTTTCTGCCAGTGCTTAAACAAAATACACATAACTTCTAAAGTCGATGTTTGGCGAAAATTCAAGCTGATGTGAGTTCTGTATTAGTTCCTGCTACTCTTATATAATATCAGTCACTGCTATAGCTTAGGAGGTTATGATTCTACAGCTTATGAAATAATTATAGCTTAAGAGCTTATGACTGTAACTTCTCACTTTTTGTCGCCGTTGCGTTAGGTTACTCTACCAAGACTTTTGTCATTCACTTTAATATATGCTGCCATTGCATGAAACATTAGATCTACCTTTTATTATCCATCCTGCTTGGCAAATTGCCAAATCTTCGAGAGGCTGTCATTCAACATTCCATAATTCCTTTAATTTCCCCTTAAATAAAAAGGGTATTACTTGCCTAAATAAAGGATCTAAAAGCAATATACATATTTATTGATAATTCTAGTCTTTATTTTATTTTTAATAATATCTCTAAAACACACAATACATCCAGTTTATATTTCTTATTACATTCGAGTTTACGGAAGCAAACTGAAGAAAGCATAATAAAATTTCCAATGTAATAAAAAATCCGAATTAGCAGGAAAAGTAACATCATTTTTAAAACTGCAATGAGATTGTCCCATACATCTAAAATTTTGAATGACTGAGTTTCGATTAGTCGAAGTTCTCGTGTACATTTTGGTAACTTAATCTTCGATAACTTGATAAGTTAACTATAAAAACTCTGCGACAGTTCTAATTAATAAAAAGTCTTATTTCAGCATTTTAGGGGGCAAATATTTTAATATTCAGTAATCTTAACCGTTATATATTCTTAATGATATTAATATTCGGAATGTTAAACAAATAGAAGTCTTTTACTACTGCTTGCAGTTCTGTGAGTTGTTGAACCATAACAAATAGTTTCTTAGTATCGAGCGAATAGTCTATGTGATTTTACAGTGACTGCACAGTTTATAAGAAGATATTTGCTACGATAACAGTGGAATGTTAATTGTGAATATGAAAAAGATACATGCCCTATCAGTTGCCGAGTGGTTAAGACTGCTGAATCCTGG